CTCAAAACAGAAAAATTAGCTGGGCATTGTGGTGGGTGCCTGTAGTCCCAGCTACTTAGGAGGCTGAGGCCAGAGATTCACTTGAACCTAGGAGTTTAAGGTTGCTGTGAGCTAGGCTGACGTTATGGCACTCAAGCCTGGGAAACAGTGAGACTCTGTCTCAAAAAACAAAACAAAATACTCCAAAGCGTTCCACATCGCTTCTTGTTACTACCTTTCCCCTGTAACTTTGCCAATAAGTTCTTCCACTATCACTGTGCAGATTTCTAAGTTGGGAGCATTAGCTCGTGTCATAGGACCAGGGATACTGCTCTAGCTAGGTTACTGATAATGCTGCAGGAGAATTTTATCTTTCTGTTCAGGAGTAGTATGTAAGCCTGGAAGGGGAGGCAGTCTGTGTTAGGGGTTGAGAGTTTGGGCTTTAGGCTGGGTGGGGTGGCTAACGCCTGTAATTCTTAGACGGTGGGAGGCTGAGGCAGGAGGATCGCTTGAACCCTGGAGTTCAAGGTTGCAGTGAGCTCAGCTGACAGCACTTAAACCCAGGAGTTGGAGGGTGCTGTGAGCTCAGCTGACAGCACTTAAACCCAGGAGTTGGAGGGTGCTGTGAGCTCAGCTGACGCTAGGCACTTTAGCCTGGGGCAACAGAGCAAGACTCTGTCTCAAAAAAAAAAAAAATAGTTTGGGCTTTAGAATGAGGCCTGTGTTGAGTTCTTGGTTGCCCTGTCTTTATAGATAAGTTTTCTTATCTGTAGGATGAGGACGATGATGTTAATCTTCCCTACTTACTGGGGTTATAGTGAGGATTAAGTGAAATAAAGTCTGTAAAGCACAAACCACTTAGTATTTGTAGGATTCCACAACTACCTTCTGTGTGCCATGCCCTGTGCTAGGCACTGCGATTAATAGGTAGATGTTGTTTTTGTCTTTCTGGGATGTATCCAGTAGTGCAGGTAACAGATGTTAAATACATACACTAATTGTATATTTCCAGTTGTGTTAGATGCTGTGAAGAAGTCACAGAGTCATTATTATTTATAACAGGAGACCTGAATTTGATTGGGAAGAGATAATAGTTGGTAAAGGCTGCTCTGAGGAACAAATATCAAGGACGAGACTGTTGAGGAAGTGTCCTCAAAAGAACATTCTAGACAGAAGGGGCTTTGGGCTGGGGTCTGGGACCATGGATAGCAATTACACATAGAATTAGCATTCAGTCTAATAATCTTTCTGTTGGAAAATGATTTTTGAACAAGGACTTCTTTCCTACTCCCTGCCAGCTGGCTCCAAGGTGAAGGGCTGGGGGGTTCTGGGATTCTGGCCTGGGCGTGACCTTGCCTGCTGTGTCCACAGGCATCCCCTGTGAGGGCGGACTGCGGTGCCTCTGCTGGAAGGTGGGTGTGCCTGGGGTGGGGCTTCTGCTGTGCTGAGAGTCCCTGGGTTCCTGCATGGGCTGCCCCCACCCCAGCCCCTTCTTCCTGTTCTGCACTTTTCCTTGCTTGCCTGAGGAAGCACTTGTGGGAAGTTTTGGGTTTTCTGTTCCTCTTGGTGTCCCCTCCAGGATCTCCTCAGGGATGGGACGTTTTCCAATGCTGGTGAAGACCTCTGCCTTCTGGTCTTTACCAGCAGATGTGATGCTTACTGAGATAAAACAAAGGCTATGCTTTCTCCAAAGCTATGAGCTGAGGTGGCAGCAGAAACCCAGTGTCCTGATTTGTAGCCCCTCTGAGCACAAGTGTTTTTGTTTTTTTAAAAAAATCATTTGGCAGTGTGTATGTGAGGAAAAGTAGAGAAAAGGGCTGGTTTGGGGTGAAGGAAAAGGGAGTCGGTTGGGGAGGAGAGGGAGACGAGCCCTGTTCACACAGAGATTCTAGCCTTTCTTGTCTTCTCTGGGCTTTATGAGATAGCCTGTCAGCCTCCACCTAACCTAAGGTTAGGGTGGGATGATCACCGGAGCTTAGCCCCTCTCCTTCTGCAGATTCTCTTGAACTACCTCCCCCTGGAGAGAGCCTCATGGACCTCCATCCTGGCCAAGCAGAGGTGAGACCCTCATGGAAGGGTGACGGCAGGAGGGCTTCTATGTCAAACAGAGCTGGTGGTGCTGAGACTGTGCTGACTTCTCTGATCTGGGCTCCCTGAGCAAGACCTTTGGGAATTGTCCCTCTTCCTTCTCTCTGCAGGGAGCTATACTCTCAGTTCCTGAGGGAAATGATCATCCAGCCTGGCATTGCCAAGGCCAACATGGGTGTGTCCAGGGAGGATGTGACCTTTGAGGATCATGTGAGTAAGGGCTGGCAGTGGAAGCTGAAGATACAGAATGGGGAGGGGCAATGCCTTTTGGTGAGGTCCCCTCACCCCAGAGGAGAGGTGCAGTCTGGTCACTGTCGACCTTCCAGTCCCTCCTTTCTGAGTTTGGTTGCTCAGCCCCTGAAGACAGTTGTCTCGCCACATTTCTCCTTAGGCCTGGTCAGTACAGTAAATGATGGCAAATGCCCAGGAGTGCCCTGCTCCAGATGCTTTAAGGGCAGGGTCTCCTTTTAACCTCAACCCTGTTCCTTGAGACAGGTCCTGTGATGATAGCTGAAGAAAGAGCAGGGCAGGAGGGGTGACAAATTGCCTTTCTGTGGCCTTGAGGAAACCTGTTCTGTCCTCATACACTGAGCCCCTCCCGTGTGCTTCACACTGCAGAAAGTGAAATGGACTGGCCCTGGGCCTGTCCTCCAGGGATAGACATTGAAGACTCAGAGCACTGATGAATGAGAGTCAGAGAAACCTAATGATAGCCAGGCATGGTGGCTCACACTTGTAATCCTAGCAACCCTGAGAGGCTGAGGTAGGAGGATCAGTTGAGCTCAGGAGTTCAAGACCAGCCTCAGTGAGAGTGAGGCCCCAACTCTACTAAAAGTAGAAAAGATGGGCGGCACCTGTGGCTCAGTGAGTAGGGTGCCCGTCCCATATACCGAGGGTGGCGGGTTCAAACCAAGCCCCGGCCAAACTGCAACAAAAAATAGCTGGGCATTGTTGTAGGTGCCTGTAGTCCCAGCTACTTGGGAGGCTGAGGCAAGAGAATCACCTAAGCTCAAGAGCTGGAGGTTGCTGTGAGCTGTGACAACACAGCCCTCTACTGAGGGTGACAAAGTAAGACTCTGTCTCTAAAAAAAAAGTAAATAAAATAGAAAAAACTAGCCAGGCTTAGTGGTGAGCACCTGTAGTCCCAACTACTGGGGAAGGTGAGGCAAGAGGATCCCTTGAGCCCAAGAGACTGAGGTTGCTGTGAGCTATGATTCCATGGCACTCTACCCAGGACTCTGTCTCAAAAAAAAAAAAAAAGAAAAAGAAAAGAAACCTAATGATGTAACATTCATTCATTCAATAAGCACTTAGTTAGCACCTGTTATACATAGTTCTAGAGCTAAGGCAAGGAACAGAAAGAACAGAGACCTTGCCCAGTAGGGATAGACTCAGAGGAGACTTCTAGCTTCCCTGCTGGCTGTGGAGTTGGAATAGGATTTGGTAGGGTGTGAGAAGGCAGGGCTATCTCCTCTGCGTAGCTTGCAGACTGTCTCAGGGCTGCTGGGGGCATGTGGTGGGATAGTTGGGGTAAGGCCACTACTCAAGCCCCCAGGGTCAAATCAGCCCCTGGGCCCTAATTGTGCTATGGACAGAGCTGTTTCTTCTCCCTCCACAGCCACTCAACCCTAGCCCCGACAGTCGGTGGAACACATACTTCAAGGACAATGAGGTGCTGCTGCAGATCGACAAGGATGTTCGGTAGGCAGGATCCCCAGGGGCCGGGGCTGGCCTGCAGGACTTCTGGGGGTTTCTTCAGCTCTGTCCTTTCCCTTTGCAGCCTGGGCTCACGGGGTATATGTGGATTGTCTCTGTGGGTCCAGGTGCTATTGAAGATGGACCTGAAGATGGGCAGGGAGGAAAGTAAGCAGTGGGGACTCTGTGCTTGCACGGGCCCAGCTCTCCTAATTACACTTTAGTTCATTTGTGCCCTGGGTATTCATAGACTCATTTGATCATTCAGCAAGTACTGAGCCCTAGCTATATGCTAGGCTCAGTGCTAAGCTCAGGGTTAGGCGCTGAGTAGAGAGACATGGTCCTTCCCTCCATGTATCTTAGAACCTAGAGTGGAAGATGGCAAGACAGACATTCAGCCAGTTAGAACTTAACTGCAATTAGCATTCATGGTAAATGCTCTGATGTAAAGTTCAGGGTGTTGAGGGAAGCCTAGCTTGAGAAAACTGCATGTCAGCTGTGGTATGAGGAGTCAGAGGCCTCGGGAGAGGAAAAGGCTGTCGTGGGTGGGGAGCCTCCTTGGGAAGGTCTGGAGAGCCCACAGAATTTGGCATATTCAAGCAGAAATGCATGGCTAGGCGCCTGTAGGACAGTG